ATATATATATATATATATATATATATATATATATATATATATTAACTTTTAAATATAAAACACTACATTTAAAATTATAATAAATTTTTTTACATATGCTTTAGTATGGTAGTCAACCCACCTAAATTTCATTATTACAAAATACACTTTTTAAAATATACTTAAGTGTGTTATTTTTAATGCACTTAAGAGACAGAATATTCCATCACCATATCACAGAATGTTCCAGGATAAATGAACTCAAATGTGGCATTCTAATTCTGTGCGTATCACAGGTCATCTGCTGTGTATCATGTGTTGAGGAAATCACTGTACACCTCACGATTTGGGAGCAAACTGGGTCTGCAGTGTATCGGAATGCATGAACAGGGCATTATATTCAACTCAAATGTGGCATTCTGGAAGAAAGTCTTTTTAATATGCAAGTTATGCTGTACTGAAGGAGAACAGGCTGATTCAAACTGCATGGCCGCGTGCATGTGTGTGCGTGAGTGTGTGTGTGTGTGTGTGTGTGTGTGTGTGTGTGTGTGTGTGTGACAGCTCTAACAGGTCCAGGGCTTCAGAGAACTTTGGATATTTGCATCACTTCCACAAACACACACCTGGATAATCTGTCACACCTGATGGATGCTCGGGGACAGGTGGATATCCTCAACTTACTGCGGTGCATTGTAGTGGACATTTCCAACAGACTGTTTCTAGGAGTCCCTCTCAATGGTCAGTCTTGAGAAACACTTAGACTATCATATACTATATACTAAAAGTTTATAGGCAGTTAAATCACATTTAATAATCATTGAATAATACAAATCATCTAATAAATGTTATGTAATAAATCTTACCAACTCTAAACAATTGTACAGTATTATATTTTTATATGCTATGTATATTGTCATTATGCAATCTTAATTAAAGGGCATGATTGATGTTCTCTCTATTGTTTGTGATCATATGATTAATATTGCAATTTTAGTATGTGACATACATTGAAGATTATGTTTATTATAAGATTATGTACATTATAAATGTAATTGCTGGTTTCTTGCTGCTGTGTTGTAGAGCATGATCTGCTTCAGAAGTTTCATAAATATTTTGACACCTGGCAGACAGTATTAATCAAACCTGATGTGTACTTCAGACTGGCCTGGTTGCACAGGAAGCACAAGAGAGACGTATGAGTTCATGAGATGTAATATTGGAGATGTATGTAGTGTAAATGCATGTAAATACCATGGTATATGAATGTGATAACTTCTGATACTTTTGTAAGGAACACTTACGCAAATGCAGAATCCAGAGAGCTTTAAAAAACTCTTTTTGGACTGAATTGTAAAGTGTTTTTTTCTGTTGTGAACATTTGTAAAGGCTTTGAAAAGTGAGACTGGCCTGGTTGCACAGGAAGCACAAGAGAGACGTATGAGTTCATGAGATGTAATATTGGAGATGTATGTAGTGTAAATGCATGTAAATACCATGGTATATGAATGTGATAACTTCTGATACTTTTGTAAGGAACACTTACGCAAATGCAGAATCCAGAGAGCTTTAAAAACCTCTTTTTGGACTGAATTGTAAAGTGTTTTTTTTCTGTTGTGAACATTTGTAAAGGCTTTGAAAAGTGTTTTTATGGTCTGTGTGTGTGTGTGTGTGTGTGTGTGTGTGTATGTTGCAGGATGCCATTGCTGATCGAGCAGAAGAGAGTTCAGCTGTCACATGCAGAAAAACTCGACCAGCTCAACTTCACAGCAGAGCTGATATTTGCTCAGGTGAATGTGACATGCCAGAATTTCACACAAACTTCTGAAACATGTATGAGAATGACTCCCTGTGTGTGTGTGTGTGTGTGTGTGTGTGTGTGTGTTTAGCGCCACGGGGAGCTGAGCGCTGAGAACGTCAGGCAGTGTGTGTTGGAGATGGTGATCACAGCTCCAGACACTCTCTCTATCAGTCTGTTCTTCATGTTGCTGTTGATCAAACAGAATCCAGACGTCGAATTAAAGATCCTGCAGGAAATTAACACTATCCTAGGTATGAGCAGGGATAATGATATTTAAGTGTAACACTTTATTCAAGATAAAGGAGTCTGATTAGCAAGGAATATCAGAAAGCCAAGTCCTGACTGTGGCGAAAGGTGGAGCTGGGGATGGAGGAGGGTAATTTGCTCCTGAGCAAGCTGAAAAGCTGCTGAATAATACTGAATAGAGCTTATATAGGAATGCCGCAATAGGTGTCGTATTCCTATAGGTAGATGTGATCAGCTGAGAATCAGCTGATGCAAGCTTGACTCACGTGACCTGCCAGAACTAACGCTAATGCTTAATTTCTGCCAGGACCACTATCGTCAAAATGATAGATACTTAGCATAAAGTTTGGTTTGGCGGTATGGTTCTGTTCTGGGCAAGAAGCATATCCTTCTGGAATAACAGAGACTGGGGCACATTAGCTTCTTGCTGTTGCAAGATTAACTAAGTACCAGCACTTGGAGTAACAACCAATAGCTTAAAGCAACAAGCAAGTCTATCGACAAACATGATACTGAACACTAAATAAGCCCTAACAAGCAAGCAAAATCCTGACCAGCTGCATCACTGTGTGGTATGACGCCTGCAACGCACTACGTGTTGCTCCAGCTGTATGAACACATATGCGTAAATGCTGTGCAAATATGCTTTTTTCAATTAGCAGACCAGGTAATATACACAGCGATATGGATTAAAACAGCATTCACTTATTTTAGATGTGGATTTCAGATGTTCTGAAACACGCTGCAACAGCTTGATTTGCAAGCAGCGATGCTTAATTTGCTCCTGAGCAAGCTGAAAAGCTGCTGAATAATACTGAATAGAGCTTATATAGGAATGCCGCGATAGGTGTCGTATTCCTATAGGTAGATGTGATCAGCTGAGAATCAGCTGATGCAAGCTTGACTCACGTGACCTGCCAGAACTAACGCTAACGCTTAATTTATCGTACTTTAAAAGGAATTATTTCCTCATCCTTATATCATTTCAAACCTGTATTCTGGACATTTTCTGTAGTACACAAGAAAAATGTAGAAGATTCTATTCATAACTCTTTTCCATTCATTGAAAGACTCCAAAAGAAAGCAGTTCATGATGTTCTATAACAGGTTGTAATGACATGAAAGTGAGTAAATACTGACAGAATTTTCATTTTTGGATTAATTATTCCGTTTTGATTGTGTAGTCAGTGTATGTTTCATTCACACGATTGTCTGGTTATATGAATATCATGTTATGATTGTGTTTTGTAGCAGGTAGGAACCTGCAGCACTCACATCTGTCCAGGTTACACATTCTGGAGAGTTTTATCAATGAGTCGCTCCGGTTCCATCCGGTCGTGGACTTCACCATGCGCCGGGCGCTGGATGATGATGACATTGAGGGCTACAAAGTAAAGAAAGGAACAAACATCATACTGAACGTGGGTCGGATGCACAGATCCGAATTCTTCCCCAAACCGAATGACTTCAGTCTAGACAACTTCCAGAAAAATATGAGTCTTCATTTGGGAGTCTTCAAATCCACACATTAGTTTCTTGTCTTATATTTCTGTCATTGTCAGTGCCATTACAAACATTTACCATGTAAAACTATTAGCCATCACTCAAATAAATAATTATTGTTTTTTTTTAAATAAATTAATAAAAAAGATTCTGCGATTGTTTTAGGAAGATACCATGCTAATTTTATTATTTTTTAAATAATAAATTTTTTAATTATTTTTATATACGTTTAGTCTTCAGTGCCTTTACAAACATTTACCATCACTCCAAAATAAAAGATTCTGAATTAATTTTTTATTATTTTCTAATAATAATTGTAACGGGGTGAATGATCCGTGCGGATCCATCTGCAAAGCTTTATTCAAAGGCGTGGTCATAAAACAGGCGAGGGTTAGACAATGGCAAACAGGTATGTTATAGGCATGACAAAAGTGTAATCCAAGGACAGGCGTGGGTCAAACGACGGCGAACATTAGTGATGTTACGTTCTGTGCCGAGGCTTTGGAGCATGTGTCGAGAAATCCCGGCAGCTTTCAGTGAAGCGCGTATCGAGGCTTGTATCGCTTTAGAGCAATGATGTCATTGATGACGTCCGAAGCCTCGCTTGGCAGACTGGTTCAGGAAGCGGTTCAAATCTTGTAAATTCACAGTCCTCTGCCCTGTTAAACCCAGCCACTTTCCAGTTTTAGACCAATAATATTGCCCCTCCTGCCGATTATGATCAAAGATTTGATTTACACACATTTGATAGCCCCATTAATTTCAAGCCAATATGTTTATTACACAGTTGTTATATTATGTTATACAATCATTATACATCACTATAAAACACACATTTTATTCATATAAATAGATTAGTCTATGTGAAATTTTTATTCTTTTTTCACCATTATTTCTAAGCCTTAACTGGTGCAAAATGCAGTGTATCACAGATCACATCAGGTCATCTGTGATGTATCTGCTTGTTTTAAACTCTTTGGCCACCAGGTGGTAGTGTGAGCAAATGAAGCCTCGAGAAATTAACCCTTTTGTGAACCACTTGACTGAAAAGCTTCAATGCTTCATGAGGCTTCATCTCGCCATCACTAGCGAACATAATCCAGAGGGCGAAGCAAACGGGTAATCTAACAGACAGGCTAAATAATCAGGAAACAGGCAATCAGGAAACAAGACATGACTAGACTTAGACTAGCACTAGGAACTCGAAACTAGGACCGGGAACTGGCTCCGTAATGCTACTATCACTGACAGAGAGATAAGTGCAAACAATACTCTGCGATTTGAAAGCAGAAGTCCATGACTTATAAAGTGTGTTTGATTGTTTGCAGCTGTGTGTGTAATCAGTGCAATGGATGATGGGAAATGTAGTCTGGGGTGACATGTGAAAGTCTGTGTAGTGAGAGAGTCAATATAATGGAAGAGTGACCTCTGGTGGCAATTGGACAGAAGTCCATGACAGAGACGTGACAAATCCATGATTCATGACAATAATAGTAATAGGAGTCAGTATTTAATCAATCAAAATAGTATATTTTGTGTCCATGGCAACAGCAACAGAGTAATACCATTCTCTGTCTCTCTTTCAAGGTGCCGAGTCGTTTCTTTCAGCCTTTCAAATCAGGCCCACGGTCGTGTGTGGGGAAGCATATCACTATGGTGATGATGAAGTCCATTCTTGTGATGCTGCTGTCTCGTTTCTCTGTGTGTCCTGTGAAGGGCTGTACTGTAGACAGCATCCCAAAAACCAACGACCTGTCACAGCAGCCGGTGGAGGAGCCCTCGAGCCTCAGCATGCAGCTCATCCTCAGAAACTCTCTCTGATTCACCTCTAACGTATCTGCTCCTTTGTCATTATTAACATGTATTTATCTACTGCTTTTAGTAGTCAGAGATATTTCATTCATATGCAAAAATAAGTCAAAAGTATTCTCAAATGGTGTAACTGTAACTGATTATTTTTTTTTTAAATGTGTAGTTTTGCTATTACAAATATTAATAAACACACACACACACACACACACACACACACACACACACACACATATACACATGCATATATAAGTGAAACCCAAAAGCAAAACACAAAAATTGTGGAAACAGATACGCAAATTTATAAAGTAGAGCAATTTTAAAAGAAATTGAAAATGCATAATAAACAAATAAAAAAGTAATAATAAAATATCATATAGGCTAGGTGGCCTAAACAATATTTCAATATTATTGTATGTTATTTACTCATGAATTGTTTCACGGTTCATAATTGTTTTACTGGTTGTTTTATTTGTTTTTGTTTCAGAAACTGTCTTTCTAATATTAATAATAATAAACAACAATAATAATAATAATCAGGGGTGTAAGGTGTCCTCTATAAAAGAACAGTAATCCACATAATAGTAGCTAAAAAAGTAATTTCTTGTAATACAATATAAGTAACATTTATGTGTGTAGATACATTGTAAAAAAAAAAAAGTCACACTGAAGCAGACATAGACATACTGCACTGCTAAAACACAACAGTCCTTGTGGTGCCTTAATAGGAAAGGGGGGGTTTCCATTACTTGATAAATTATCAAATGTGTGGTGCATGTGTTTAATTGTGATAAAACACGTCCAGTATGTCTGCATTTCGTATATATGCCATCATACAGTAATTTTCATCAGCAGAGGGCACTGTTACACCATGTTAGGACCGTGTGAACACTGTTATGTGTATACATAATCTGTTTTAATTTAAATGATTGAGAATTCAGAGCTGTCAAGTTTTAAATGAGTTTAGTGAATTCAAAACTAGTTGGACTCAACAGATGTTCAGCAGAAACCATTTGTACAGCTCCTGTGTGTAGCTGGCAGGCAGCATAAGGGTCTCAGGGTCTATTAGTTTTCAAGGGCCATTTCTGCCACATGGGGCCCAGAAAGACATCAGCCAACATGTAGAGACCATACACATACACACACCACTTAATGTAAAACAGTCAAGATTAACTTACTTGGTATGCATATTAAATGATTTCTAATTTACATTTGCATTGGTTGTTTTGATGTATTATTATCATATTCAGGCTTTCTAAAGCGGAGCATTCAGACAGACCGGATCCATGTTGCTTATTGTTTTCTGTGAGAATCAGTGGCTAACCCTTAGATGAAGACGGAAATTAATATGACGCACGTCTCGTAATTGCCGTGGTAACCTGCACAGCTGTGTTAGTGGCAACCAGATGACACTGTAGACAAATACACATTGTTACACTAAAACAAAACACACACCTGCCTGATCCAGAGATCTCCATGTTAATGCTGTCTAAACAAGAAACAGGAAAACATTTATCACCAGATACATTGAGATATTCATGCCTTCAGAGCACTGAGAAACAGCACAAAAGTTCTTCTCGATGCCTACTTTACTTATCTCTCTCTAGACAGGTTGGTATTCTTGCTTGTTTGTAGAGTTATTTGGCCACTTCCATAACAATTATCTAATTATTAACAGGAATAAATAAGTGAAGCATCTGCTAAATGAACGGTCCTCCCAAAAATGAAAATGCTTCAAACCATCACATTCTTTCTTCGGTGGAACAGAAAAGGAAAAACTGTGCAAAATGTTCACTCTGCTCTTTTCCATACAATGAAAATGAATGGGGACATAATTTTAAATTAACATTTTAAAAATGTAATGGTTTATTTATTGGAAAATAATGATTAACGTGTACATGTTTTCAATATGCAAGGTTTACTTTACTTTGCATTCTGAGTCATTAAAATTTAAACTTAAAAATGATGTGAAGGTTTTTCAAAACCAAATAAAACCAGCACGAATGCAGGGTACATTTCTAAGAAATCATGCATTTAAAGCTTAATTTTCGTTTTCATTATCTTCAACACTCTAGCTTGTCATTGACCCACATGTGAAATATCTACAACCAAAGTTTCCTTTGCTTATTCAAGGTAAACTCTATGATAAGAGAGGATGTCCTAACTTAAGCAGCCTGAGAGAGAAAAAAAAAGAAGAAGAAAAAAACAGTTTAACTTGTGTTTAAATATGCAGATCTACAGCTGTCCATCTAGACTGCTGCTCTCTTGGATAACCTTACCAGACCAGATCAGTTTCACACTCAAACAGCAATCACACAGCAAATACTGTAGATTTTAGCTAGAGAGAAAGAGACTTATCTACTGGTTTAACAGGAAGAAATGTTCAGATAAGCAGAAAACCTCTGCTTTGCAAAACGCAAAACACAAGGAGACAGAGCTGCCATGATCAACAAAATATGACAGGTTATAGTAATGACTACATTTTACACTTTATTAAGAAAATATTTTCGGGTGTTCAGGATGGTGGCTTAGTACTAGCAACAGATATTACTAGCCCCAGTAAAATACCCCGGTAAATTATAACTTCAATGTCTTTCAATAGAGATTACCGTATAACAACCATTCTTAGCAGCTGATAGAAATATTGTCAGCTGTTCAGAATACCAGATTAGTGTACAAATCATTCATTTGTTTTGATGTAATCAATTGGGTTTGCAAAATGATCTGAAATGGTTCACAGTTCAGTTTGATTCATTTGTATAGTACACTCATGCACTGCAGTTTATCACATGGAAATACAAACCCAATTCCAAAAAAGTTGGGACACTGTACAAA